TCGGTAAGGCAATGCATATTCAAGTCGGGGCATTACTCACGAGTCTCGCATAGGCTCTGCGGCAGAGCAGATGGCCACCATCCGCCACGGGACCGCGATCATGTCTGCACTCTACCATGCCACGATTCCAATCTTCACCGTCATCATCCGGAGATCTTTTGGTGTCGCCGGAGGAGCCTTCTCTGACCCAGGCGATGGGTTGAATACTCGCGTGGCGTGGTATATTGACAATTTCTTTGTGTCACTCATTGTTGTACTGATAGCGCGATCAGGCCTTCGGCTGATTGGGGAAGCCTTCCCCTTGAAGGCGGCATAGAAGCTGCGTACAAGCGGCAGCTGGATGGCGCACCATCCCCGGCTGCTCGGGAGATGATGATGAAGGATCTTCTAGCCCAGTTCGAGGACGTCCGTGACCCGTTACGGACAGCGAGTGTCTTTGGCATCGAGGAAATGATCGACCCGCGGGACACCCGGCCCATGGCCTGCGAGGTGAGGCTTGTCCGCGCGCACTCTGCGGTCCGAACCCGCACTGACCGACAGCCACAGTGGATCGCGCATGCATATGCCCATTTGTTACCCCAGCGACTAGTCGCCAGACACGCGTCCGGAGCCACCGCACGGCCTACAAGATACAAACTATGAACACCTTATAGCGATACACTCACTTCTTCGAGATCGCAAGCTCGAGCGTCCTAAAGATAGGATACATCATGCATGCCAGCACAAATCCGACGATGACGCCGATGTCCCCCGTCCCGGCGTTTGCGATGGGCCCGACATACCACGCCTGAGACATGCTCGGGATGATGATCCCGCACGCGCAGAGGAATGCGAGTATGGCGGCAACCCCGAGCGGGAGCGCCCTGGGCTTGCAGTATTGCGAGAGGTCGTAGCGTGTCCAGTCGTTCTTGCGGAACATGAGGTGCTCGACGATCACGATCGCGGCGAAGACGGTGCTCCAGTAGCCGATGACACCTGGTGTAGGCCGTCAGTATCGAATGGCGGGGTTATGTGCGCGACTCACTGAGAATGTCTACGAATGTGGTGTAGAAGTGTCTTGCACCCACGATGGCCACAGGAATGAGGCTGCGTGAACAGTCAGCCCCGAGATCATGAGCGGTCAGACAAGGCAGCGACACACATAGCCTCGGAGATGAATGTATACACATATCGTGGTACCCGGGCAAACCACGCGTGGATCGTCATGAAACTCGACGCGAACGTGTACATCGTCGGAGCGCATGCACTGGGAATGGACAGTGCAACCAGAACAGTCAAGAAGTTGCCAAACCTGCCCGAGGAAGAGAGCACTGCTTGGATGAGCCCGCCGACGTTGTTGCCTCCATCGAACCCGGCGTCCCATGAGGGTACACCGGGGGCCGCGGCGGCGAAGGCTGCGCCGAGCATGTGGGCAGCGAGCTTTTCGTAGTTGTCAATGAGACTGGAAGGTAGGGCACAGACGTCGACTTACACTAGCGAAGAAGAAACCGGTGTAGCTATACAGGAAAATCCGTGTGCTGTTGACGAAGTGTGAGTTTGGGATTTCAAGTGTGTGATATTAGGAAGCATGTTTAACCTTGATGCTTTGTTCGTATGATATACACCGTAGTCTGGCGTCATCATACACCAGCTAATGACACTAGACGCGGTGGTTGTGGCGAACGACAGAACGGCAGCAGCCGTTGGTGGTGGAGGTACCGGTGCCTCTGTCAAATGCTTTCCCCCGAGGCCAAGCATCACAATGAAGGCGATGACACTCGGTATCCAGGCCACTGTTTCATACCTACATCGCAGATCCCTCTCAGTTACGTCGATAACGCACGGGTAGGACTTACCTGTGGATAACTTTGTAGCCAAAGAATGTCACCTGAAGCGGCGGAACAGGTGTTAGACAACGTTGTCCAACAGTACAATGGGACTCGTGACTTACGATGACAGACAAAACGCCTATAATCGTGATCCCTAGCGAATCATCAAGGTGGGAAGATACGCTAGCAAGTGTTTGACCACCGATGATGCAATTTAAAATTAAGAAGCCTTGCATGGAGAATACCGTGAACGCGCTGGGGAGGATGGACCCGTAATAGCTGCCGGACAATATCATCAGTTTTCCATGACTCGGCCAGTCAGGGAGAGAATTATCATCTACCCCCAGGAGTAGCGTGCGAGCACCATTGACCGCATACCAAGTTTGGGCCCGAAGATAGCACTACGGAGCAATGGCCACGGTGAGCCCACAGTTTGCGCAGTAGCCTGCAGGCGTTCTCACAAATAAGCCGGAATCAAACATGCACTGGAAGCAGGTTCTTTCAGATCGATCCAGCGCGCCCTCGTAGAAGTATGCGACGCACATGAGGTCCACGACGAGGATGATGATGAACGAGTCTCGCAGCCCGAGGCCAAAGAATGCAGGTCCAGCCGAACCTGTCCCAAAGCTAGCACCGCGAACGAGGCATGTAAATCGGATGATACGACCCCCAGACACCATAGTTATCCATCACGCACGTCAAGATGTTTATATTCGCAGAGAACCACACGAAGAACATCTGGTACAGCTTCGTATCTGTCCTATCTTCTGGAAGAATGGGGTTGATCCTGGCATGCGTTCGGTGGTTTCAGGACGAGAAAGGCCGAAAATAAACTTGTGTGACTACGAACCCATTTGTTTCGATGCCCCAAAGGGAAAGAAACTCGGTTATAGACGCATACCACCTTTGTGCCCGAGTTTGGGGGACGACCTCGTTTGAGATGGTGCTCGCCTTCTCGCCCTCTGGCACACCCATAGCGGTTCAGATGATGGGAAGGAGCAAGGAGAGGAAGTACTGAGTCTGCTGACGAAGTTGTCTTTCATATCAAATATCTGAACGGTCCGATGGCCGGATGATGTCAATAAGCGCCAACGATGGAGGTGTGGTTCAGACGTTGAGAACAGCTCAGTATGAGAGATGTATGGAGTAAAATCCATGACAGAACGTCAGGATGGATCCTGAATGCGCGAGGCTTCCCTGTCTTCGTATTCTTCTACCACCTAAACACGGAGGTTAGCGCCAAAAGCATAGGACACAACAGAGGGACATAACCTCTTTATAGTGCTCGGGTTCCCAACGCATTTCGACCTTGTCCAGCTGACTCTCAGGAAGGTGCCATTCTAGATACATGAAGAAGAGATGATCTACAATCATGATGATAGCATAGATTATGCCAGCAAAGCGACCGAGATCGAGTGTTCTGTATAAAGAGAAGGGGTGAGAGATGATATATGCCCATAAATCTGACGACATACCGTCGCAAGCGTGTCCAAAAGTCAACAGGAGCAGAGTTCATTACGGAATCATACACGGTCTCTGTTCTCTGAGTGATCTCCTTCCAGTCGTAAAAGCCCTTGATCCGTTCGTGGGCGCCGGCGGAGTCATGCTTTCCCGTCGACACTCGTTCAATTGCTTCGGATACCGCACGCACGACATCTACCAATGATAAAGTGAGGACATTTATTGTCATAATCGTGATGAATGTGTTTAGGAAAGACGTAGAGCTTACCGTCTTCGTCTGGATTGGCAAACGAAATCATATGTTCTGGCAATGTCTCTGGTACCCCTCCGACGCGGGTAGATACAACATACAATCCGGCGCAGGCTGCCTCCACAATTGCAATGCCGAATGCCTCGGTGAGAGAGGTATTCATGAATATCGTACCCTGGGTCAGGACCTAGAGTATGGTGTTAATCATCACATACATACAAAGGAGAGTCGAACTTGCATTGCGAACATCACTGTGACGGACGGGTCCGAGGATTTCGATGCGATCCTGGAGGAGGTATTTCTCTCGCATTTGCAAGACGTCTATCATCTTGGGGCCATCTCCACCTACACTCATACGAAGATCAGCTTACGCTATGCCTATCTCTCCTGGGCTACTTGCCAATGAGGAAGCGCACTTTTGGGAATAGTGCGCATATTCGGGGGGTTGCGGCCACCAATAGGTCGACACCTTTCCTGTAAGCCAGACGGCCGATAACCACAATAGTGACTGGGGGAGGTGGAATACGAAGAAGTCGATTAGACCGAAGCAGATACAAACAAGGCTGCGAACGTACTAGTGTCCCCCGAAGGAGGAGAGGAGGCAGGTTTGAACTGTTCGGTGACGAGTGCATTGGGTATGACGTAGACATGTTCGGGCGGTAACCTCGACCTCAAAACGGTATTCTCGCGTCTGTTGCATCTCCCCATGAGTATATGTCGTCTGCCACGACATAAATGGCTGTACCCAGTGTGCGACACACATATGGCAGCATCGACATTGCGCAACGCGGCTTCGAGCAACTTGTTTGTGAGAATGCTAGCGGCATCATCGAAGCCGAACAAGCTGTGGTCGGTGAAAACGGTGCGGACACCCATGTGATGAGCATGTAGGATCCCTTCGTGCGCCAGCGAGGAAAGGCCAGCATGGCCATGGATGAGTTGTATCCCCTCCCGGAGCACGATGGTCCGAAAATAGGGCAAGAAGGTGAAGTAGTTTGGGAGCGTCGCGGAAGATGCGATAGTCGGGAAGGGAACGTAGTAGACCTTCAAGCAAGGCAGCAACCATCTTATACCAACGCGGTCAGGCGGATGACTGTGCGTGATGACGACCACCTGGATTAGCGGCGTTAGCGCAGGACTCCCGGGAGAAGGGAGGGAGTCTTACTTTATGTCCGCGGCTAAGGAGGTCTGCACTCAGCATATAAATGTGGTTTTCCACACCGCCGACACCGGGGTGGAAGAAGTCGCACACCATGCTGTTCAAATGGCTGCTTTAGAGGATAAATACACAGTTATGAGCGGCGACGGGCATACGCGATACTGATACCCATATCGGAATCTTCGTCTTCAATGGATTCATGCAATGACCATGAGCTACAGAATCATAGTGGCTGTATATCGCCCGCAAGTTCGGTAGCTGCCACCGACACTGGTATGTTTGTTCGTTATGCCTATAAATTGTAGTGGAGACCACAAAGCATGGTTCGTTGGTGTAGTTGGTTATCACGTCTGTCTCACATGCCTGCGAGGGCGGTGGTCACAGGAGGTCCCCGGGTCGAACCAAGTTTTTAGCTTGTGCTGCTGATCTCGCTCTTCAAATAATATAATCAATATTAATGACCAGGACCAATAATATTCCCCACACCCGGTTCTGTTTTGCAAGTCGTATATACATTTTGATCGAAAGTCCATCGACTAAACCAAAACCACGTGCGCAGCCCATCGCCAAATGCCAAGCACGACGGCGGATCGGGGACTAGCGCCCATAACTGGACCCATTTAGCGGCGTACACGTTCTTTGTTTGCGACCATCTTGTTCCAACCCTTGCGCTCGGCAGCTTTCTCGCTGCACCATCCCCCTTTCTCCCCTTCTACTTTCTATACCATGACCACTTTGGACAAGCACGAAGCGAGCGTCGACGAAGAGGCACCGGGCCAGCCCATATCCGTACCAGACAACGGCGACCATGGCGAGAGCGGCAAGCTCAAGATGATCGTTCAGCTCGTCAAGAAGTGCCTCGGTGTCAAGGATATTGCCGCCATGTCGGTCTTATTCTTGTGCTTGTGCCACTTCACCTGACGCGAATGTCACCATACAGGCGCCTCTCGCTTCCAGCGTCGCTACTGGAACCCATACCTAACCTCGAGTACTGGCAGTATTTGGACAGGCCGGATTTGTTTGCTGCGTGAGTGAGGCTGCTGTACATGTGCACCTTGGTCTGAGAATATCTTCACAGTATCAACGATTCCGACGATCCCTTCGAGCGTATGCTGGCCGTACTTCGTTTCACTTTCTCCAAAGACCTCAAGTTCATCGTATGTATCACCAACGTACTGTCATGCACACAGGCGCTGACGTCCCACACAGAGGGGAAAGGTTTGCAAGCCTTACAACTCCGTGCTTGGCGAACACTTCCGTTCGCATTGGGATGTCATTCCGGTGTCCTACCCTTCGGACCCCAATGAGCCGCCCATTCACCACCTCTACGTCTCCCCCCCAACTGCTGAAGTTGCGTCTGCTTCGTGGTTTGGTACCCCCGCCATGCACTCCATGCCGGACGTTGCCCACCCCTCACTCTCAGAGAACGCGAGTGTTAAGAGCGGCAAGAGCAACAAGAGCACGTTCAGCGGATTCAGCTTCATGTCGCGCCCGGCGACGACGAAGTCTACGCCCGCGACCTCCCCGGAGCTGATCGAGACGAATCTCGAAGCAGGCATGTCCAGCCTCAGTCTTGCGAACGACCGCGCCTCCGGCGCAGCGGACTTGCTGGAGACGGACGAGAACGCTGCGGATAAGCCGCGGGTGCGCATCGCCTTCCTCACCGAGCAGGTCTCTCACCACCCGCCTGTCTCGGCGTTCCATGCTGCGTGCCCGAGCCGGCACCTCGAGCTCGCGGGCGTCGACCAGATCTCTGCGAAGGTGTCCGGGACGACGTTGCGCGTGATGCCAGGCTCGTTCAACAAGGGCCTATTCGTGCGCATCACGGGCCCGCCCGGCGAGGGCGAGACGTACCACATCACGCATCCGGTAGCGTCCGTGAACGGGCTCTTGCGCGGGAGCTTCTACGTGACAGTCGGGGAGACGACGATCATCACTTGCTCGGGGGGCGCCGATGGCCAGAAGCTGCGGGCCATCATTGAGTACAAGGAGGAGTCGTGGCTCGGGCGGGCGCAGTTCGCGCTCGAGGGTGTTATCCACACCTATGACCCGAAGGAGAACGTGCATGAAGAGTGGACGCGGGTGAAGCACGTCCCGCGAGAGCGGATCTTGGCCGTGTTTGATGGGTCCTGGCGGCAGCGGATCCGCTGGAAGCGCGTTGACGCACAGGACACGGAGTATGCGACGCTATTGGATCTGTCGACGTTGCATGTCGTTCCGAAGATCGTGCGTCCATTGGAGAAGCAGCTCCCGACCGAGAGCAGGAAGCTGTGGGAGAGCGTGACTACCAAGTTGCTGGCAAAGGAATACAGCGAGGCCACGAAGCACAAGCTTGTCATAGAGCAGAAGCAGAGAGATGACACCGCGGAGCGCAAGCGTAAAGGGTTACAGTGAGTAAATATTCGTCTCTGTTGCCCCTTAGTGACTGATCAATTGGTGCAGATTCGTTCCGCGTTATTTCAACCCCGATATTTCCTCGGGGCTCCCAATGCTCACGGAGGAGGGACATAACGCGATCGAAGAGGAGCTCAAGGAGCCTGCCGAGTACACATTAGAGGATGCCAGCGCGCCCAAGCCCGTAGAGAGTTCAAAAGCATGAACATTATGATCTACACGATTACTTACAGAGTCACGCTCGTCCGACCCGTCTGTTCCGGTCGGGCTGTATCATACACTCATATACCACTGACCACCTCTTTTTGTCCCATCTCGCACGGACGCGCAATCGGTACAGAGTCATGTACGAGCCAGAACGAGGGTAGCTAATGACCTAGGCTTACAATTGGACATGTTTTGGGCAGATTCATGGGCTGAGCGAGTGCGCTGTACGCGCTCGGGTAGATGAGTTGAGCGCCTTGATCGTGTCGACCCGCCCGGTCGCGGTCGCGTTTCTCTGTCGCGTCACTGCCAACGTGCTCCTGCTCTTCGCCACCGACGACGCGCGAATGCTCCCCTCGAGGGCCGTTGTCCGACGGACCCCTCGAGCAGCTCGTCTGCCCCGCACCCTTCTATCGCAGCATCTGATAACATCTCCGCGAGCCAAAACGGTCGAGTCAATCTGCAAAAGCGCCGAGTGCACATCCTTCTCGCTCTCGCTTCGTCTGCCTCCGCCTCAGTCTCTGCTTCATCCTCCTCGCACCGTCGCTCGCAGCTTTCACTCCTCGTCCACGATGGCCTCGCTGGACGCCGTCACGCAGGCCCTCTCGAAGCTCTCCATCGCCCCAGTCGCAACTGTCTCGCACGCGCCGACAAACTCGCCTCAGTCCTGGCGTGAGGCCCTCGAGGCGAGCGCCGCATCCCCAACGCCGTTCGAGCTGATCAAGACGCTCGTCTACAAGCCGAAGACCGCGAAGACCGCGACGCCGGTGCCGGTCGTCGTGATCGCGCGGGAAACGGTGGATGTGCCCTCCGGTGCACTGGGCAAGGTGCTGAACCTGAAGGACCTCCGCCTCGCGTCGGAAGATCTCCTCAAGGAGTTCTTCGCGCTCGACAAAAACTCTCGTGAGTCGTCTGCTTCCGTGCGGATGGAGCTTGTGTGAGCGAGGAGGTCTCTCGTTTACGGGGGGAGCCTCGGCATATGCGTTTTCGGAATCCATTCTGCTCGAGTTCTGCAACCTGTCCTGAAAACTGACTTACAGTTTGCATGCAGTCTCCCCTCTCGCCATCACCTCAGAATCCTATCCCAAGCTCACGGTCGTAATCGACTCGGCTATCGCGAGCTCCTCCTCAACGTTCGCCGTCCGCGGCCTCTCCTCCGAATCTACTGTCTTCATGTCCGGAAAGGATCTAGCCACCTACGTGCAACAGTTCGCTACGGAAGGTGCCCCCAAACTCCACGAACTGGAGATCTCCACCCTGCAAGCAGCCGCAGAGCAGGCTACTGCATCAAAACCGGCCCCTGCGGGAAAGCAGGATGCCAAGATCGACGGTTCCGTCCAGATCGCTATTGGCGTGAAGAAGGAGGTCGACTTCCCTACATGGTACACGAACGTGCTCATCAAGGCGGACATGCTCGAGTACTACAATGTCAGCGGCTGCTACATCCTGCGGCCCTGGTCGTACAGTATCTGGGAAAGCATCCAAGGTGCGTATGAGCTGCGCATCTTTGATATCGAGGGCTAAGACAGCGTAAAGAATGGTTCAACGGGCATATCAAGGCGATGGGCGTGCAGAACACGTACTTCCCCATGTTTGTGTCGTCAAAGGTTCTGGAGCGAGAGAAGGATCACGTCGAGGGTTTCTCCCCCGAGGTTGCTTGGGTCACGCGAGCGTGGGTACACAACTACTTCGGTGGCTTCAGGAGCTTATAATGTTGCAGAGGCACTTCCGAGCTGGAGGAGCCTATCGCCATCCGTCCGACGTCTGAAACCGTCATGTACCCTTGTACGCCACCATTGATTATGTTTTACGGTCGAGAGCTCACAATAACCTTCAGACTACGCCAAATGGATCCAGAGCCACCGCGATCTTCCACTCAAGCTGAACCAGTGGAACAGCGTCGTCCGGTGGGAGTTCAAGAATCCCCGTAGGTACTCTCGCCTAATATGTCACCGCTACTCACGAGGTTTTCAGAGCCTTTCCTCCGTACCCGCGAGTTCCTATGGCAAGAAGGCCACACTGCACACCTCACGAAGCCCGAGGCTGACAAGGAGGTGCTCCAGATCCTCGACCTATACCGCCGCGTATACGAGGAGCTCCTGGCGGTGCCCGTCATCCCCGGTGTCAAGTCAGAGAAGGAGAAGTTCGCAGGTGGCCTGTACACCACCACTGTCGAGGGTTTCGTCCCGACAACCGGACGCGGCATCCAGGGCGCGACGTCACACTGTCTCGGCCAGAACTTCTCGCGTCCAGAGATGTTCAACATCGTCGTCGAGGATACAAATGACCCCTCGGGCCAGGGCAAGACATATGTCTGGCAAAACTCGTGGGGCCTCTCGACGCGCACGATCGGCGTCATGGTCATGATTCACGGCGACAATCAGGGTCTCGTCCTTCCCCCCCGCGTCGCCTCCGTACAGGTCGTCGTTGTGCCCTGCGGCATCACCGTGAAGTCGACCGAGGAGCAGCGCAAGGCGGTCAACACCGCCGCTGAAGAGCTCGCGGACTCGCTCAAGAAGGCCGGCATCCGTGCGCGTGCGGATCTTCGTGAGGGCTACACCCCCGGGTTCAAGTTCAACGACTGGGAGCAGAAGGTGAATGCTACGCTTTTTACCCCACTCGTTTCCTCAGCACTTAACACACGCACGGCAGGGTGTCCCGCTCCGCCTCGAAATCGGGCCCGCCGACCTCGCAAAGAAGCAGACGCTGAGCGCCCGACGCGATACCGGCGACAAGGCGCCCATCCCGCTCGCGGACCTCGCGGTCGCGGTGCCTGCGCTGCTCGAGCAGATCCAGGCGGACATGC